TCCCCTCTAGCACAGGTGAGAGCTAGGCCGGGTGAGAATGCAGAACAAAGGATCAGTAAAACCACACGGTGCAGTCCTGGGCCCTGCTGGTCCAGCCTGGCTGCCCTGCACCCTGTCGATGACACCCTGTGACTTCTCCAGCTGGCCTCATTCACAGGTGTTATTGCACTCTAGCAGCGCTTGTGCCTGGCCTGTGTCACTTGGCCACACACCTAGCAGTCCCCGAGGTCAGGGCATCTCCATGGTCAGGCACCGCGAGCACACGGGGCCTTATCTGTCCTGCGCCCACTGGGCTGGTTGGTTCTGGCCCTGCCAGCCCTGAGCCTCCACAGTGCGGATCTGCTGTCGCCGAGCACAGATCCCGCCTCTCCCTGGCCCTGCTGCTCCAGCCTCTCTGGGGCTCCCAGGTGATCAGCACCTGCAGTCCCAGTGCCACCCCACTGGCCACCTGCAAATGACCTGCCACACCCCTGCCCCTCTGTCTCCCAGACCTCAGCTTTCCTGGTGTTTGGGGCTGGGCCCTCTGTGTGTCCATTTCTCTAGTGCCCACAGTTTAAAAAGTTGCTAGGTATGAATGGAATAAATGTGAATGCCTTACTGAGTGGAGTATACCTGCCATATTATTATATAGACCCCGTCTAGTCACTAGGGGCGCTCCACGAGGTAGGCGGGGAGCCCTGTATGTCACAGAGGCCGCTGCCTCCAGCCAGACAAGTCCTGTCTCACCCATCACCATGGACCCCGATGGGAAGAGCTGTGTCCCTTCCTAGGATGGCAGGGGGATGAGATGGAGACCAGAGCTCAGTGTGCTTGCTTGCTTCCCGGGAGGGGCTGAATGGATGAGGGGTCCGTGTGTGTGGGGAGGGAGGGCCACGGTGAGAGCTTGGGGAGGGATGCAGACATGAGTGCGTCCCCAAAAGCGATGCCTGGGACCCCCGGCATCTGCCCCGTCCCCTCCCTAAACCGTGTCCCCTCCCTGAGCTGCCTGCCTCTCTAACCGCAGACCTGGCCCTTCTCGCCTCTCCCAGGACCACCCCTACACACGATTGCATGCAGAGCTTCGCTTCCTCTCCTGGTTCCATGACAACTGGCTGTGCCCTGGTAATTCCTACAGGGTCACCTTTTATATGTCCTGGAGCCCCTGCTCAGAGTGTGCCGAAGAGTTGACAACATTCCTGGCTGGTCACCGCAATGTGACACTGACCATCTTTTTCTCCAAGCTCTACTACTGCGACCCGGACTCCTCAAATAGGGAGGGGCTTAAAACACTGGCTGCGGGAGGTGCCAGGTTGTTTGTCATGTTTGATACAGGTGAGAAATGGGCCTGTGAAGGCTGCAGGAGATACAGGGGACTCGGACCAACACCCCTCAGTGTGAGGGTGCGGGGTACATGGCACGGTGACCATGAAGGGGGAACGGTTTCTGCTCACACAGTACACATGGGGGTCCCTGTGCTTAGCACAGCACCCAGCCTGGAGGCTCAGGTGACAAAGACTGGGGGGTTCTGACGTCTTCTCCCTTCTTCTTCTCAGACTTTTCATACTGTTGGACAAACTTTGTGAACTGTGGCTACAACTATTTCGAACCTTGGCCCCTACTGGATGACAATTCCAAGTACTGCAACAGGATCCTGCAGAAAATTCTCCAGTGAGTGGCGTCCGTCCCCGCTCTCGTGTTGCTCCCGGTGTCCTCTGGCCTCCGAATCTCGGGCTGGATGGGCCTTTCTATGCCCACCTCTCCCTCCGGCCTGCTGTGCAGCTGCCCCAGCACTCACCACCTGCCTTCACTCCCTGCTTGCTCCGAACCATCCTCTGGCTTCATAGAATTTGCATCTCCCAGATGAGAATCTCACACTTCTCCAGCTGCACAGCAAGCTCACTGTCCTATGGCCAAAAGAAAATGCTCTATGCATGTTCCTGACGACTCACTCAGCCCCAGACTCCACCACACCTGAATCTTGTTCTCAAACCAAAGATAAACGTGCATCCCTCAGCATGAAGACTGGAAGCTTTGAGAAATGTCCCTCAGGCCAGACCGCAGTTCTCCTGTATCCTCCTGCTGGGCAATTAGAGCCTTTGTCTGGAGATCCTTCCCGTTGCTTTAGTTTTAGTTTTCGTGGTCCCTAAAGCAAGGACCAGGCTGGCTAGTGACACTTTGAGAAATGCCCCTTGGTTGTGCTAAGGCTTCCGTCCCTGGCTTTAATGGCCGCCTCTCTCTGTGTCCTCGAGTGGTCTTTCCCCAGCACACGTGTGACCCCGGCATCTCTGTGTCCCGCTCCCCTCCTCTCACAAGGCCGCCAGGCAGATTGCATCGTGCCCCAACCTAGGGCCTCTTGTTACCACATGGCCCGGTCAGAGGGCCTGACTCCAAATCCAGTGTACGTCCCAGCTCGGGGTTAGGGCCTCGGCATCTGGACTCGGGCCCATGGCAGCCAGAGCAGACCTTGTGCTCCTGTGTGTGGGTGGGGACTGGTAGGGTCGCTGTTCCTCCTGTGAGTCGGTCTCTCGGGGTTCCTGACCTGACACCCGCTTCCACCCAGGTCTTGCTGCACTCTGGAGCCCTCCCCGTTGTTCACCATCCCCACCACCACCTCTGACCTGTTCCCCAACCCTAGCCAGAGAGGACGCTCTGGATTTGGACAGTTAGGGACAGGTGAAGGGGACTGAGCTAAAGAGACAAGACGGAATATCATCTAAATAGGAGCCACGGTGACTGGGTAAGAAGAGGCAGGAGAGCTCAGAGCTTTTGTTCCGGGCCCAATAAAGAGCACAGAGCTGAGCAGGAGCTCACCGGGCAGGGAAAGGGCAGCTTGGGGACTCCAGGTCACGCGGGAAGTGAGCACTGGGGACCTGGCGCACAGAAGCAAAGCAGAGCCCCGCCATCCCACTGTAATTGGATAAAGTCTGAGGAAGTCCCCCAAAAGGAGATGGAGACCCCGGCTCACCCCACCCATGGGGTAGGTTCACTGGCTTCCATCACAGGAGAAGAATTTTCAGGACACAACTGTGAGAGACATAAAGAGACTTAGTAGGCAGGATTTCAACGCAGCGTTGACTCTGCCTCATTAGCAGTCACAGTCCCATTCTGACTGATTTACAGGAGACATATGAAGATTGGTTTATTTTGGTTTTATTGTTTTGTATTAATGAGGCAAGGTCTCATTACTTCCTTCAGGGTAGCCTCAAACTTATAGACCTCCCCCTGCCTCAGTGTCTTTGACTGCTGGAATTACAGATGTGGGCCACCACATTGGCTCAGAAGGCTGGGTTTTGTTTTTTGAAGAACCATCATCCTTTGACAGTGAGGTTGTTTTGGGAAAATCAGGACATCAGCAAGCAGAATGTGCCATTAGCTCCTGACAATGCACTGATTTGTGGACCTAGGTCTTGTAGACATTGTAAGTTAGATTTGCCTCAGTCATGCACAAACTATTTTGTTTCAGTAATGGCACAGGTGGGCACCAGCCTGACTTGGACCTGGAGAAGAATGCAAGACAAATTCTGCAAGCACTTGGAATAGTAGAAGGTAGTGGGGCTGGAAGGTGGCCCTTGCATGACCAAGGTAGCTAAGATGTCATAGATGGATTTGGAGACTGCGGGTCACGGCTGATGCAGTATTTTCAGCCCCTTTCAATATCCATTTTATTTTTATATTACTGTTAGTTATTTTACCTTTTGGTTATACTTTTCTGCTAGGTATCTAAGACCAAGCCAAGGACTGGGGATGCAGCTCAGTGGTACAGTGCTTATCAAACATCCACAAGGCTCAAAGTTCAATACTCACCACTGGGGGAAAAAACAGGTCAAAATAATAGCTGTATTAATCAAAACAAATCTGCTTATCAGGGCCAGTCAAGGTCCCTGGAGGGTTTCTTACGGGGCTGTGTCGGGAGCCTTCAGCACCTCTAGATTTCCCCTCTACCAGCTGTGCCAGGATGGGTCGCGCTGTGACTTCGCTTAGAAGCACAGGGACATTCTCCTGTTCGGTAACACTCTTTCTGCAGAATGTACACTGATTGACTCCCGTCCTCTGGGGTCCAACAATCCCCCAGCTTGGGAGGTTGAGTGACTCCCCAGCATTGTAGGGTCATCGTAGAGGGGTCCCCCTGGCTGACAGTGGAGGGCAGAGGCCAAACTCTTGGCCGTCCCCTTCCCCTTCCCATCCCCTTGAACGATGGCCTTCAGTCTCGCTTGCTGAACACCCAGACTAGTGACCCTAGTCTTGAAGTGGGAGCGGTGGGCCTTACTCTTGATTATTGTGGTTCATTCTGGGGGTTGGGGCCTTTCGCGATACAAAATGAGACCAGAGGACAGCTACCTTTCTATTTAATATTGTTTAGTGTTAATACTGGGAGTCAACATCCATCAGTTCTACAGCTGGTGGCTGCTATTTTTCACATACTGTTTAAGTTGTTTCAGAGAAGTCATCTCCTTTCAGAACATTAGTAGACAATGGTTATAAAGTTTTATAAGGAATCTATAAAATCTATAAAACTAATAAGAGCAAGATCAAATTTATTTAGTCCACTAGTTTTGTTAAGTCCAGCATTGTTTAGAAAACTGCACACAAAGGTACTTACTAGAGTTCAGAGATTTCAAGACGTTTTGATCGTTTTATACATTTCTGCTTCAGATGTAATGTACATTATGTGCACGAGACCATTTATTGGTTACTTGCTTGTATTAAACTTATGTACTTTCAAGTCTATAAATTTTGTGTATTTTGACAAAGCTCAGACATGTAAACTATCTTGTCTTCAGATAGGTGTATCTTAAGTCCCACATATAGAGCATAACACAGGAGGCCCTCACCCCTGGGTCACACAGCAGGAAGCAAGCAGCCAACCAGTGAGGGGAGATTCATTTCTACTTATAGTCGCTCCAATCTCTAGCTCTCCCTCCCATCAGAACAACAGTGGTATTAGATTCTCACTGAATGTGAACCATGCTTGCGAGGGATCTACCTTGCATGGTCTTTAGGAGAACCTAATGCCTGATGCTCTGAGGTGAGCTGAGGCAGTGGTACTAGTAGTGGGGAGCAGCTGCAAAAACAGACTGACACTAGCAGAGAGGTTCGACTGCACGGAGACCATAATAATCAAATGCTTGCTGATTCATATCCTAGCCTGTCAGGGATTGGCAAGTGACAATTAAGCTACATGTGGTGGTAGGTTGTACAGCGGCAGGTTTGTCGATGTACTGCAATAGTAGGGCTGCATATGCTAGCACGCCTTAAGTCAGAGTCTGACATTTATTTTAGTCCATGTGTGGCCTGCCCAGTATTTTCTTTACCACTTCCATCTGAGCTTCTATCTCAAACTGCATACTTGTCAAGTCACGGGTTTGATAAAACCACAAACTAACCTTAGCCAAAATGAGTCAAAAAACAAAAGTCACCATACAACTGTGTTTTACAAAGGTGGGGAAAACCCCATGATGAGACAGCAGAAGGATCTGATACTGCCAGAAAAAAAAGCTGTATCTCTACTTACATTATGGGTTCATTGCAACAGGTAATTCACAGGCTCCAGGCCTGCTTGGTGTATGTTGCGACTTGCCGTCCCATGAAGCTATGAAACCTTCAAAACAGCTTCCCCATATGGACACCAGTCACCTGGCGTTAAAACAGTGAAGTTTTTGAGAAGACAAAAGAGTGAACACAAAGAGCGTAAGCAGATATTAAAGGCCACCACTTCACCTATGTGTCTGTACCGAGAGCAACATTCTTTTTTCTTTTTTGGTACCGGAGATCAAACCTTGCTCTTGCAAAGCAGGCTTGGAACCGCTGAGCTGAATCCCAGGCCCCCAGCAGCATCATTCTTACTGCTTCACTGCACTGTCAAGGCAAAGAAGACCTTTACTGTTAGGGAAGAGTTGATCTCACCTGCTGCTAAGGAAGTCGTGGTGATGTCTTAGGAGAAGCTACAGTTCAAAAGTGATCCATGTGCCTCTTTTGATTGGCTCCACAAACGAACAAGTTCACAAAGGACCAGAGGGACCCTGAGGCACAATTGTTATCATCAAAATCCGGGTGGATGAGCCTAGTGATGTTAATAATGAGTCAACAGTGCTTATTTTTGTGTGATATATTTTTTGGGAGGACGTGCACTTCCATTTCCAACAGCACATCTGCAGAACTAGTTAAGCCTGTCAATGATGACACATTAGGAGCATTGCACTGATCATTTTGGGCCGGCATATGCACCTGTGAACAGGCTGGCACAACTGCATGGCTTCCTGGTTTCACCACTTGGGTCAAAAAGTGGCTTCTGAGACATTCTGTTGGGCAGAATGGGTCAGACACCTGGGCTTGAATGTCGCATGGTTTCTCTTGTATGAGACACTCAAATGATATATACACACAGAAATAGAGAGCAAGGTAGAGTATGGAGAAGAAAGAATAATTTCAAATAATTCCCCAAGTTCTTCTCTATTGCACTGTTTCAAAATCATTTAAAGATATATACTGATTTGTTTCATGTATACTACTAGTTCCTTAGTTGATCAAAAAGATAGTTTTGTGCTATTATCTGTTAGTTCCTTTTTGGTCTAGGATTTGTACGCTGAGTTAACACTGTTGCCATTTTTTAGGATTATGCTGCACAGTGCATTAGCAATAATGTTATTCTCTCACTATTTTGCTGTGAAATTTGTTTTTTTCAAAAAAATGGAATTTTAGATATTTTCTTTATTAATATTTCTATGCATTACATTTTTTAAAAGTTATCCCAAAGAGTGGCTCCTGAATGAGTCTATGCACTGTATCACTCATGTAGACAAAATGTATTACCTGAATTTAGCAACATTTTGCAGGATCATCAACCATATTGAAGTACAGGCCCTCACGGCCAGGGATGTTGCACCACACCTACCATGCAAGCACAATCTCCGGTACTGCAAAAATAAATAAATTTTTAAAACAATAAAGTACAGGCCCTCAGTCACATTTGTTTGTAAAGCTCTGTGCAGAGATAGATGCAGAGAATCCACATCTCCTTTTGCAGATAGAAGTGACAGCTTTCTAAAGGTGGATCATTGGCCAGGGTTTATGAGAGATGTTCCAGAGATTTCTTTTTAGAAAAGCAGTCACCATTCGCAGTACATTTCAGTGACGTGGAATGGATCAGAAAAATTGCTTACTCCTGTCACATATTCAAACTGATCAAGGAACTCAATTTGTCACTTCAGGGGAGAATGGCAGCTGTGTTCCTGTGGGCAGAGAAAGTGGCTGCATTCAAAGCAGCCAAACATGAATGATGGGTGCTACAAGTAAACACTGGGTTTTTTATTTGTTTGTTTTTTTGTACCACAGTCAAACTTGGGTCCTTGCACTTGCGAGGCAGGTGGCCACTGAGCTAAATCCCCAGCCCAACACTGGCATTTTGACATGTTTCAAACATTAGCAGAGATTTTTGAAAGGGACTGAGCAAGGACATTCTCCCAGCTGGTGTATGATCAGCAATCTCAGCTTTCAAAGAGTTTGAACATTGCTGCCCTTCCATAAGGAAACCCCAGACATGGAAGGAATGGGTTGCAAACCCATTTGTGAATAAGCAGGGTAAATCAATGTGCTGGAACAATATTAACTGTTTGAGATCATAAAAGACTGTGGCCTTAAAGGTGTGTTTGAGACAGCTTCAAATCTCCACATGTTCTAAATGAAAGTCAAAGCAGAACGTCCTGAGATTGCCACAAAAGTGCTGAAAAGTGCCTGGTTCCGTTTCCACGATCCTGTCTTTGTGAAGCAGGGTTTTCTGCAGTGGCATCTGTACCCAAAAGAGTACAGAGTAAAGTAGACGTAAATACCACACTTCAGGTATCACTGTCCCTCATCATCCCCAGATGGGACCAGTTAGTTGCGGGAAAACTCCCTCAGGGTTCCCACTGATCGTGCTTTATGATGAGCTGTATAATTATGTCACTGTATACTGCCATGTAATAATGATAGAATGATATGCACAACACGTGTAACGCACTTGAATCATCCCAAAGACATCTCCCACGTCATCTCTGGAAAAACTGTGTTCCACAAAATGGGTCCCCTGCCAAAAGTTTGAGAACCTCTGGTATAAAATATACTACAATAACCTACAGTGATACTGGTTTATTTAATCAGCATTAATAATAGGTTATCGAAAGGACTTTATAACAAACCAATATTTAAAACAATCTTAACTTTTTTTTTTTTTTTTTTTTTGCAAGGGGTAATTTACTAG